CCTTAGAGGGCTATCCTCTAGGACACAAAGACCATCAAAGTAATCTTAAATGGCATTCAATGTTCTTATTCTATATAGGTAAGTGCACACACACTAAGATAAAGAAAATCAATAATTATATTCATGTTATGAGGAAATAAGATCTAAGCATTAAAAAAAGGAAATATAAAAAAGAAAAATGCCAGTTGGTGTGGCTCAGTGGTTGAGGGTCAACCCATGAACCAAGAGGTCACACTGCTTTGATTCCTGGTCAGGGCACAGGCCCGGTTGCAGGCTCAATCCCCAATAGTGGGCGTGCGGGAGGCAGCTGATGGATGTTTCTCTCTCTCTATCCTTCTCCCTTCCTCTCTCTCTAAAAATCAATTAAAACATATTTTTAAAAATAAACGACAAATGAAATATAAGTATAAAATATATTTTTTCTTCTTACAATACCAATTTCCTAGCTTTATATGAATATAAGCAAAATGGCAACCTATCGCATAGATTGTGTTTCCTAAATACTATTTCCCAATAAAAGGAACTAGACTCCTTGATGGAAAGGCTGGTTGAAGGTCTAGGGCAGGGAATGTACAAAATGATACTGAGACATCTTTTCCTAGAAAGCAAGGCCCATTTGGGTTTTGTCAAAAAGCTCAGGAGCCAATTTAAGGGGTTCTCACTGACCCAAAATGGGGAAATTTGAGCATCAAAAGAATAAAGAATGTAATGCACTGAAGCATAGCCAATATATAGAAACTCATTTGTTCAATAAGCAAAATCTCACTGATCACCTTTCAAGTGTCTAAGACACTATCCTATTTTTCTGAAAATTGATAAAGAATGGGATAAATAAACAAGTATTTTCCTGATTTTCTGGTATGAACTATATACTTCAGGGTGGTGAAATAGTAAAAAAAAAAAAAAAAAAGTTCTTTTTCATAGGCTAATTCCAACCAATAAAAATGAATACAGTATTATAGAATTATAGAAATCACCATTTACCACCCCTTAAAAAATAATAGATCTAGATATTAATCATCAATGAAGGCTAAAGCCATAGGTGAATGATCAATGGGAACTTTGAGAATCAGGCTTTGTAAACCTGAATGCACTAGCCAATCTAACACCAAAAGTGAGACAACCCAGGCTCTATGCCTCCTAACCGGGCACAATTGAAAGTATAGCACATCACCTATAGGTATTCAAAAATTGAACCTAAATCTAATCAAGCCCTGCCTAGATCTAACTAACAGAAAAATTGGAAATCTCACATGTTGCTTATGAAAATGAAAACTAGTACAGCCACTTTAGAAAACAGCTTGGCGGTTTCCTATAAAGTTAAGCATATACCCACCCTATGACTCAACAATTCCACTCCTTAGAGAAAAGAAAGCATATGTCCACACAGAAACCTATATGCAAATGTTTACAGTGGCCTTATTCATGTTAGAAACTAGAAACAACTCAAATTTCCATCAACAGGTGAATAAACAATTTGTGATACAATCATATCATTGTATATTATGCAAGAAAAAGATTTTGATATAGATAATAAAATGAATATCTCTCACAGATAAAAATCACACAGTCATATCAATTAATGCAGAAAAAGCATTTGACAAAATCCAACACCCTTTCTTGATAAATACCCTCAGCAAAATGGGAATAGAAGGATCATACCTCAACATAATAAAAGCCATATATGACAAACCTACAGCCAACATCATACTCAATGGACAAAAACTAACACCATTTCCCCTAAGAACAGGAACGAGACAGGGATGCCCACTTTCACCACTCCTGTTCGACATAGTACTGGAAGTGCTAGCCATAGCAATTAGACAAGAAGAAGAAATAAAAGGTATCCAAATTGAAAAAGAAGATGTAAAACTGTCATTATTCACAGATGACATGATACTGTACATAGAAAACCCTAAAGACTCCATCAAAAAATTATTAGACTTAATAAATGAATTCGGCACCATCAGTGGGTGCGAGTGGTGGTTGCTGGCCCCAATCACCCTTGAGGGCTTCTCCACCTCCCCCTGCTCCTGATGGGTAATCAGGGCAGCAGCCGCATCTCGCACCCGCTGACAGTGCCAGCCCCACTTGTACCAGCTGCTGGCGCCAGCCCCAATCACTCCACGCCATTAGCAGGTGCCAGAGGGGCCAGTGACGTCAGCATGTGGCAGCGGAGGTGGTGGGAGCAGGGACCTGGGGCCGCAGTGGGAGGGGCCAGGCGGGGGTGCAGGGGATGGGCTGAGATCCGCCCCTGTGCCCAACGCAGCCTCGTGGCCCACAGTTCCTTTCAAGGTGCACAAATTTGTGCACTGGGCCCCTAGTATAATTATACATTTCCACTGATATCATTTTGCTCTGTAAGCTTTGAGTGGATTTCTCACTGGAATCTCTAAACTAATGCTTTCGAAAGTTAGCTTTTTTTAAGTATCTTGACCCCTCTGGTACAACACTCAGTTTTGTTTATTTGGTGCCTGAAATCTATTAACTTCTTAATTCTATTCTCTCCCCAGACCCTGGCCGGGTGGTTCAGTTGGTTGAAGTATCATCCCCAAAAGGAGGCAAGTTCAATTCCCACTCAGGGCACATACCTAGGTGACTGGTTTGGGTTCGATCCCTGGTCAGGGTGTTTCTCTCTCACATCAATGTTTCTGCCTCTCTCTCTCTCTCTCTCTCTCTCTCTCTCTCTCTCTCCCTGTCTCCCTCTAAGTCAATATAATAATAATAACAATTATAATAACATTCTCTTTCAGGTTTCAAACCTGTGTGTTACCCTCAATGTCATCCCATGCATCTGATCTGTTATCTATTTGATTTATAATTTTTTTCTGGTAAGAACTCTAAGTTAACCCCTATATGTATTTACCAAAAAAAAAGCTTTCAGCATTTTCTTTGATGTTGTACAGATTTTTAAAAAAATAATCATTTCTTGTTTATCTTATTTTTTTACAATGGAATAAAAAGGAGCCAAATAGTTGTCCCTGAATCATCATGTTAATATCTGAAGATATCACTGAAGGTCCTTAGTAAATTTAGCTGCTACACTTGTGTCTTTTTTTAATACTATTGAGTGAAAGCACTGAGTGTCTAAGCCAGTGGTCGGCAAACTCATTAGTCAACAGAGCCAAATATCAACAGTACGATTGAAATTTCTTTTGAGAGCCAAATTTTTTAAACTTAAACTATATAGGTAGGTACATTGTTATTAACTCAATTAGGGTACTCCTAAGGCTTAGGAAGAGCCACACTCAAGGGGCCAAAGAGCCGGATGTGGCTCTCGAGCCGCAGTTTGCCGACCACAGGTCTAAGCTCATTCACTTACACAAGCTGGATTTAATATGGTGCACAGCACGGAGCCCAGATATTCAACACAGTGATTGTTTTCTGAGTATTCGAAGATTCAAAATACATTAAGAAGTCCTGCCTCTGAATTCCTTTCTCCACCCAACAACTTTTTTCCCAATTTCACTGATCCAGTTAATTTCAAAGTAACAGAAGCTGAAATTCAAGTTCAATTTATCACCGGCTTGAAAGAGTGAAAGGAAGAACCGTAGCTAATCTCATTGACAACAATCTAATAGGGGAAAATAGAACTAGATTCATACCAAATTACGAAATGTATTTTGTTTAGAACATTGGTTTAATAATGTTCATTCTAATGTGTAGACGGTTGGCCTTATTTAGATAAGTTCTTGTTGTTTCCAAAAAACGAAGCCTCTGTTCTCTTTCTTATGAATTGAGTAACAGGACAAATTTTGTCCTGCTCCTGGAAAACTTATGACCACAGAAATCAGTGTGTGGGCTGAAAGGGCAGTAGTTCTTCACTTTTTTTTTCCATCAACACACCAGTGACATTTAAAGTGTACTTAATATTCACTGCCCAACGGACTCTCCTCACTCCAGACTGCCACCTTGGTGAGGGAGACGGCTAGTTTGCATGAAATTCCCCCAGAAGATTTCTGTGACCCTGTATTTCCTCTCCCGTCAATCCAATCATACACCAGCGGCATAAAACCTCAGTTGAGTTGCCTTATTCCTGGCTCTGTTTTATATCCTTGCACTTGTTTTTCTTTCTTTCACTCCACTTTTAATTTATTCTATCTTGAATTTCATGTCGCCTTGTAAGTCATCTTAAATCCTTTCTAGCACAAAGTAAGGCATAAATAAATATCATTCTATGTATCTGCAGAAGCAATCTCTTTTCATTTATCCTAGATAAAGCCTTAACACTTTAACTCCTTGCTGCCTCTTAACTACTCTCTATCATGTTAAACATACATATACTAAAATCTACAACTTCCTTGGTTGGGTTTTGGGGGGTTTGTTTGTTTGTTGCTTTTATCAATTTTCTGTTTAAAAATATTTAAGGCCGCATACAAAAGCTACAGGAAAAGTATCCATGCACAATTTAAGGTTAGAGACCCATACGAGAAATTAAATTGTCTGCACAAAGAACCTGCTTGCTGCACAAGTTTTATGTCTAAAGAATGTAAAGCTTCAGGTGTCTTGCATACAGTTACTCAAGTAGTAATAGCTCAGTTACACTGTAGGAATTTTTAAATGCTGTGATGTAAGACTACTATAACTTGGGCATTGGCACATGAGAATTTTTTTTAGCGCTATTTTAAAAACCACTAATAAACCCTCCAACTTGCAGAATTGAGCCTCTGCTCAACTGAGTCTGCCCAAGTTGTGAAAGATGATTAGCAAGAGAATCACATTTTTATCTCAATCTGAAATGCCTGCTAATTTACTTAGAAAAGTAGATATTTATAAAATTGGAACTTTCATAAAGTAGTTTAGAGTTTAGTGTTATTAAAAGGAAAATTAGTTATAAAAGTAATAAATGCACAACATAGTCATTTCTAGTCATCCCATTTTATAGAAATAATGTCCTCTCATTTCCCCAAAGTTATCGAACGGAAGCAACAGATCATCTATAATCATTAGGCTTTGTCTTACAGCAAAGTTTGATTTTAAAAAGTTTGACACTCACTCACCCACTGCAGGACAGAGTATTGCCCATATACAGACACTAAACCAATTGTCTAAGCAATTGCTTATGTTTAGAAATTCAGTGCCACTATCATGGCTCACAGTTTGGCTTATGATGCATCTGTTAGCAAACAGCCTGACAAGCACCCTAGTGTATTTCAGGATGACTGACAGGACACAGCGGCTCAAGGAGGAAGGGGGGATGGGTGCCCTTAAAGCAACACAGCCAGTGAAGGACGGCATCAAACAGCAGAATTAGGCTTGAAATTATATTTTTGCAAATTTGCAATAAAATAATGACATATTGTCCAGTATGAGCTTTTAAACAGAAATTTTATGTGACCAAAATATTATAAATTCCAAAATGGCTTTAAGAATTTTAAGAATAGAAAGAACGTATTTTACAACAGGCATGAAATGTGTTACTTCCCTGAACTTATCACACTTCTAAATTATTTAATAGTATCCTAATTATTTTTAACATAATTTAAGTCAGGGTACCCAGAAAAAAAGCCGCTCTTATCTCACCTCTAGATATTTGCCAATTGCTCTTACAATAGTAATTTAACTGATGACAGTAATTTAAACACCTTGAATTAATCAGAGCTGTCATCGAAGATAGGGTCAGAAGATCCATGTATTTTGCCCCCCCCCCCCCTCGTTGTATTCTTCCGTATGGTCTATGTCATGGTTAAAAATAAATAAATAAATAAATAAATAAATAAATAAATAAATAAAAAACAGATCAAAAGATTAGGAAATTTCAAGTATGGGTATTTCCACATTAGTTTCACTTCGAAAATTACTTAAGTGAAACCGTTGGCTGCATTCTTCACATTTGTAATTTTTCCGATATTATTTCACAGTATTCTGCACCACGCAATCTTTCATTCAGCACTCAGCCCTATTAAAAAGTAAAAGCCCCTCATTTTCAAACACAATCCCTCATTTAGCCAGCAGAGGGTATCATTTGATTCTAAAAGACTACAGTATTGTATCCATTGACATTTATTTTTATTTTTTTTATGGATGACTTTTTTAAAAACTTGAACTAGGAAATGGGACACACCGTCTCAACTTTCCTTATTAAATGTGCTTAGGAATATTTCATTTTATTTTGTCCATATAAGTTTGGCTTATAGAACCTATATTGGTGTTTAATAGTTCTCATCTGTGACAAAGTCTATTGTTATTTCTATGTCTATCAGCTACTCAGATGCATCCTCATTGTAGTGAAAGAAAAGCACTAGAAGGCTACAAAGTAGCAGACTTGGGTTTGACCATCAGTCTGACTTTCCACACTCCCAGGTTGTTCTGGGACAAAAAACACACAAAAACCCTACAAAGATTCCAAGCTTCACTAGATAACCCAAAACACATTACAAAAAAAAAAAAAAAGAACCATACTATAAAACAAAGTAATTTCTCCTCAAAATTATATGTGACATATGTAAATTGTTTAAAATTTTCTAATTGCCCTGTTTAATATTTGCTATTTGTCTGTTACATATTAGGAGCTATGGGACTAATTGTAGAGGATGTGTTTCCTGTTATCACATCATTATCATATTTCTCATGAGCATGCAATGCTCCGACTAACAAAGTCCTCGTACAAGCTACAAATTCTTTATTTTACAACTTAATACCCACTTTAGTTTGGAAAAGCATGAATATTGATTTGTCTGATTTACTCTGAAAGTAAAAACTTTACTGTGTAATTAGCTGAAATCATTAACTATCACAAATGTCTTCACTGAAGATATAAATGTCCTATGTGTCTCTGAATCTATTATCACAAACATCAAGTTTACTCAGTTCACTATGGAAAAATTAAGACAGATCTAAGAGCTCAAACAACAGTGAGGTACCATCTCACACCTATCAGAATACCATCTCACGGCCTCTATATATAATTAGGCCGGGACGCCGTAACGGTCACGACCAGCTCAGCGGGAGGGGCCGTGTGCGCCCCAAGCCTGAGAGAACAACATCAACCACGGCGCTGGGCTGCTGGGGGCCAGAGCGGAGACAGACACAAACCCGCAGGGGGCCCAACGCCCAGCAGCCCCGTGGCCACAGCGCCAGCAGTCCCACCTCTGCATGTGAGCTGCAGAGTAAACACCTTTTCTGACAGCTCATTGGCTAAGCTCCCTGTACACCACTCTCAGTGTTCTTGGTAACTTGGGTAATAAGAATCCAAGAAGGTGATCTAGGGTTTTTCCACCTCACTCCCGGAGGAAGAAAAACAAAGGTCCGCTGCTGGAGGGGCTAAGAAATGTCATATCCTGCCCTCACCAGTTTGGCTCAGTGGATAGAACCTCGGCCTACAGACCGCAGGGTCCGAGTTCGATTCTGATCAAGGGCATGTACCTACGTTGCAGGCTCCTCCCTGGCTGGGGCCCAGGCCAGGGCTCATGCAGGAGGCAACCAATAGAAGTGTGCCTCTCACATTGATGTTTCTCTCTGTCTTTCCCTCTCTCTTCCACGCTCTCTAAAAATCAATGGAAAAATATCCTCAGGTGAGGGAAAAAAAAAAAAGAAAGAAATGTCATATCCTATGAAAGAGCCATCTTGAAAATGCCTAAAGAAAGTTGTCATTTTTTTGTGGTGAAGGAACTGGAGTCCCTGTTGATGAAAACACCTTGGTGGCTGCGGCGGCCAGCAGTGGCGGCAGCGGGGTGATGGGGGTGGCACCTTCCCCTGATCATCCCAGTCACCTCCCGCAGAGGGAGACCAGACTTTAGCTTAGGCCCGCTCCCCGTGGACATCCCCTGGGGGCTCCCAGATTCTGAGAGGGGGCAGGCTGGGCAGAGGGACCCCACCCCCAGTGCACAAATTTTGTGCACCGGGCCTCTAGTCAACAAATAAACAAACAACAAGTGCTGGCAAAGAAGTGGAGAAAAAGGAACCCTCATGCACTGCTGATTGGAATGCAGACTGCTACAGCCACTGTGGAAAACAGTATGGAGTTTCCTCAAAAAAATTATAAATGGAACTCCCATTTGACCTAGTAATCCCACTTCTAGGAATATAGCCCAAGAAATCAGAAACACCAATCAGAAAGGATATATGCACCCCTATGTTCATAGCAGCACAATTTATAATAGCTAAGATTTGGAAACAGCCTAAGTGCCAATCAGCAGATGAGTGGATTAAAAACAGTGGTACATCTACACAATGGAATACTATGCTCCTGTAAAAAAGAGAGAATTCTTAACCATTCGCAACAGCATGGATGGACCTGGAGAGCATTATGCTAAGTGAAATAAGCCACATGGAGAAAGATAAGCATCACATGATCTCACTCATTTATGGAATATAATGAACAACATAAACTGATCAACAAAAATAGATCCAGAGACAGAGAAGCATGGAACAGATGTCAAACCTCAGAGGGAAGGCAGGAGAGGCAGGGGAGGGGGTAAGAATCAACCAAAGGACTTGTATGCATACGTATAAGCATAACCAATGGACATGGACACTAGGGAGGGTGAGGGCATGTGCTGGGGGGTGGGGGTGGCTGGGGAGAGATCAATGGGGGAAAAAGGAGACATATGTAATACTTTCAACAATAAAGAATTAAAAAAACATTCTAACATTTTTAATATTAAAAAAGTGATCCGCCTGAACCGGTTTGGCTCAGTGGATAGAGCGTCGGCCTGCGGACTGAGGGGTCCCGGGTTCGATTCCGGTCAAGGGCATGTACCTGGGTTGCGGGCACATCCCCAGTAGGAGATGTGCAAGAGGCAGCTGATCGATGTTTCTCTCTCATCGATGTTTCTAACTCTCTATCTCTCTCCCTTCCTCTCTGTAAAAAATCAATAAAATATATTTTTTTAAAAAAAGTGATCCCTCTTTTCTTGCTCCCAGATTTGCAGTAATGACACATCCTTTATGCTAAAGTATTAACTTTCCCAAAGAGAAAAGGAATAATACTTCTCTTCTTCAATTGTGATTCAAAATAAAAAGTTATAACTTGCTTTCCTTAAAAAAAGGAATCCTATTTCTGATCACGAAAGCAAGATTTGGGTTCCTCACTCCATAAAATCATTTTTAATACCTGAATGTGGCAGTTTCTTTCCTCAGAAAAAAACTAATGGTAGCTACATAAAAGTCATATTTTACATCTGAAAATAAATTGTAACATCTCTTCAATTGTTAATTCTTTCAAGAAATCTTGTATCTTTAAGTTTCTAAACTGATATATTCTCTATAAGATAAAAGACATACTTAGAATTATTTCTCAAGTTAACTTATAGATAAGTATCCAGAAGAAAACTGAAAAGTCAGTTTTTCCAGTAATTTGCTTAACCCTTTTGCCAATATTCCTCACAGATGCATAGAATATACATTTCTATGCATTAACTATACATTTTTGAATACACAGGTAACTATTTTTTTTACTGTTTTCATCTAACCACTTAATTCCACTTTACTTTCCAATTTTGGGGTTGGTTCCTGACACAGGTTTCCTGAACTATATCTCATTCAGCAATTTTTTATTTACCCTGGTACCTTAAGAAGCTACATCTAAAGACATTTTTAATCTCAGTTCTACCTATGGCTAAGAAAACTTTTTAAACAATAATTCTTTATGGGGATGTGGAGACTAAATGACTAGTAATAGATACTATTTATTTAAAATAACCCTTTTTACTTTTAACAAAAATGTCTCCATACATCTTACGCTATATTTCAATTTTCAACACACTTTTTATATATTTCATTTTCTCCTGAAAACAACTTATTTCCTTCCTAAACTATTGTAACTGGCTCGTAACAGATACTGTTCACACCAGTGAGCAGGTCTAGAGTAAGTTCTGACTCTGACATCGGTGTGATGAGTTTGAGGTACGAGTGGCATGTGCTCATGGGTTATGTTCCCATGGGCAATTGAAAATTCAGAATCCTAGAGCTCAGGAGAAAAATCAAACCTAAAGATAGAGATATGTTAGCTATGCATCTGCCGTATGCCTTAAACCATGAGGCTAATTGAGCTCTCCCAAGGATGAGAGGGGAGGGAGATAAGGCACCAACAAGTGCCTTGCAAAATAAGTACCCTGAAGAGGTAGGAAGAAAA